ATTACCGATTTTTTCTTTATTCGTATTCCATGTTTTCTAAGCATTTCCATGGGGTTTTTTTAACAAATTTGAATAATAAAGCTTTTTTGAGTATTGTTTGTTTTTTCAAACAAGTTTTTATAATTTTTGCAAGTTATTTCGTTTTTATAAGTTATATTTTTTAGGAATTTGTCGTAGAGTTTTTCTTTTTCGTAAAGTTTTCGTAGAGTTTTCATAGAGTTTTTTAGGAATTTGTCGTAGAATTCAAGAATGAAGAAATCCATATTATGACAGGTGTGACGATAAGTCATATCTATCGTAATCTGGTTAAATATTTTCCCGCGTTTTTCTATCACAAGACCATTCGATCTTCTTAGAGCATCTTAATAAGCAATATATAATATATAATATTTATATATTGAAGAATTTTTAAGTCTCGAAGTCACGACATTTTTTTTACAAGATCCGACATAACAAGTGCTTTGCTTAATTTGGACAATCGTTAAGTCGGACAATACATATATACCAATTCAGAGTCAAAGTTACGGGATTCTACTCTGTGTACGCGTGTGTGTGTGTGCGTGCGTGCGTGCGTGCGTGTGTGTGTGTGTGTGTGAGAGAGTGTGTGTGTGTGTGTGTGTGTGTGTGTGAAAACGACTATTTTAAATTGATTTTTACCTTTTTATTTAAATATTCTATTATTGACCTGAGTCATTACCAAAAAACCAAAAGTATTAAAAAAAAAGTATTTAAACTCAAACAAAAAAAAAATTATTTTCTTTTGAAAAATTAAGCAAAAAAGCTATTACCTATAAAGATCGTGTAAAAGTAGTGCATTTTCACCGGGAAGATAAAACCGCTCGTGAAATTGGAAAAATAATAAAACGATCTCATAGTTCGGTGCTAACAATCATCAAAAGATTCAGAGAGACGAAATCTTACGTTGATCGCCATCATTCTGAAAGACCCCATTTGACTACACCCAATAATGATCGCCTTTTAATCAGGTTGGCAAAGAAAAACCGAACCATGCCATCGCATGAATTAAGAAGGGAATGGAAGCTTTTAAATGGACGTCAAGCATCTGCATCACTTGTGCGTAGGAAACAAAGAGCTAACAAAATGCAATGGAAAAAAGCTGCTCTAAAACCGCGACTTACCAAACAACATATAAAAAAGCGAAAAGAATTTTGCCAAAGTGTCAAAGAATGGTCTAAAGAAAAATGGAGGACAGTAATTTTTAGTGATGAGATGAATTTCGAGGTTGATAACCGAAAAAACCGAATTATGATTTGCAGGCAGCCTTCAGAAAAATATAATCCCGATTGTATCGTTCAAAGAACAAAGCAAGGTAGCGGGTTGGTTGGAATATGGTGCTGCATGACATATCGCAACGTTAGAATTATCTTGTTCTATCTCCACATTTTTTAGTTTTGAGATAAAACGATTTAAAAAACAAAAACTTTAGGAGACGGCGTATAAATTTTTTTTTATAACTTAGATTTCAATTCAGTAGAAAGAAATTATTTTGAGGAACACAACACTATCATTAACTCAATTTTTTCAGAAAGTGGAAATAGAACAAGATAATTCTAACGTTGCGATATTATGATCTCAGTATGTTTAAACTATTTGATGGTCAACTCAACTCTATTTATCACGTTGATATTTTAAATAACAACTTATTTCCATCAATTGATGCACTTGAGCAAAGTGTTCCGTTCATTTTTCAGCAAGACAATGCACCATGTCACAGGGCTAAAATTGTCTCTGAATGGTTCGAAAGCAAAAATATTGAGCGTCTAACTTGGCAACTAAATATCCCAGATCTAAATTGCATTGAAAATCTTTAGAGTTGGCTTAATAAGAGATTGCAAAGAAAGCACCAGGGAGCTATGAGGAGTTGCGCAATATTTTACCAACAATACTTGGAAATATTCCCAAACATAATTTAGAGAATTTGATAGACTCAATGTCAAATCGTATAAATGAGAGCAAAAAAAATCTTTTTTACTATTTTTTTATTATTTTTTTTATTTTACATTTGTTGGTCGTATTACAATTATATATTGCCAAAAAAAATAATGATAATAATAATAACAAATATAAAAAAAGGTATCTGAAAGAAGATCAAAGGATCTGGTCGTCAGAACCTTAAATAAGTTCAAACAAGCATTAACAAAGGTAACAACAGTTTTAAATTTCTACAAATTTCCTAAGTATAATTATATAATTCAAAGAGAGATGACGCGGATCTACTCACCCATATTTTATATAAACGTATACGTACCAAAATATAATAATATGTTAAGTAAAGGATATAAAATAAACAAAATAAGTAAGAATAAACTTTTTTCAAATGTAAAAAAGAAAAGGCAAAGTTATTAATTCATATTACTAATAATAACATAATACGTCATCTAATGAAAAAATTAGGGTTTTTAATTTACTTTTAGAAGAACGAAATTTAATGGGTAGTTCGAAGTCAAAATTCGGCATAACAATTTTATTCTAAAGGTGTGGTGCCCGATAGGCAATACAAAATTGATTAAAGTTCGTTTGACAAAAAAGTTCATTTAAAAAATCAGCGTTTCTCAAATTGTATTTGTTGATGGGTTTCGGAGTAAAAATATCTTTGAAGAGAGATTGAGACAAGTCATTTTTCCACATGTATACAAAGCATAAAACATTATATATATTTAGCTCGTATATATTTAAAATTCTCATTTCAATAAAATAATGTTTTGCGTGAGAAAAGCGATTTGCAAAGCAGGTTAAACGGATTGCATGTTTCTGACGGCGATAAAGACGTTGCAACTTACTTTTTTCTGTGCTACCCCAGGCGATATTAGCATAATTTAAATAACTGTGTATAAATGAATAATAAAATTTGATTAAAATTTTCTTATTGAGGTTAGATTCGTGCTTTATATAAAACTACTATGTTTTTTGAAATTTTAGTACTTATGTAGTCGATTTGATGATTCCAAGTGATGTTTTCATCAAGATAAACACCAAAAAATGTTGTTACGGAATTCCTTTTTATTTCAATTTGATCGTTAAAAATTTTAGGTAAGTTTAATGGCAAATACCGTTTTTTGGAAAGCTAATGGAATAAGGTCTTTGTTTTATTAGTATTTAGAGTTAACTTATTACATTTAAAACAACTAGATACATGTCTAAGCTCTTTGTTCATTGTTTTAAAAAGTTCAAAGATATCACTGTTAGTTAGTATCATCTGCAAACATAATACTTGTTAGTTTAGAGGCTTTATTTAAATCATTAATATAAGTTAGGAAAAAGAGTGGGCCAAGAATTGAGTCTTGTGGGACTCCACATGTTATAGAAAGACAATTGGTGTGATACGTCATTACTCGTAAATTTTTGTCTTAACTCAAATTCATGGTAGAATTATGCTGTATTAGGTACCATTTAATGCGGTTTTGCCGTTTTTTAAATTTAATTTAACTTAATTTAATTTAAATTAATTTAATTTAATTAGCAATTAACGGCTATCTAATTAAAACGCTGTTAAATTTTTTGCGTTGTTAAAGTAATATCACCACGCATGAATAAATCTGTGGCGCGAAATATTGGTGCTAAAATAAAAAACATTTTTTTTTTATAAAGAAAAATATTTTAGCTAAAAATCCAATTCATTTTTGTTTGAAAAACAATGCATAGAAAAATTTAGTTTTGACTTTACTTAAAGATACCATTTTTGTGTTATATAAGCATGCTCAAATTATCCAGTGTTTTTCATTGAAATTACATAGTTTTAAGTCCTAAAATTGCAGTAGTTTTAATTGCTTTCTGAATAAAAACAAAACTTAGTAAAAAATTTTTAATATTTTAATAATACTAAATATTTTCTATAATATAAATTCAAAAAGTATGAGTTTTTATCGTTCAAAGGTTTGAGTTAATAAAATTAAAAAAAAAATAACGAACCAAAATTTTTTTTTGGTATTTTTTTCTTAATTATTATTACTTTTTTGAGCTAATTTAAAGTGCTCATATTACCAAGGGGTCTGGGTAAAATGAACACTTTTGCTACTTTTTTAGAACCTCTGTGTTTTCAAGATAAAATTTCGGTTGCGCGAATATCTAAGTGGATTATGGTAGGAACCCCTAAAAAATTTTTGTTCGCAAAATTTTTGGATCCAGCATAATTATTTCTAAAAATATTCCAATTTTCGCTAAAAGTGCTCATATTACCCTTAACTGCCCTATAAATATTTTCACCAAACTTAACCGACAGGTTTTAAGTTTCATTCTATAATTTTTTGACGTTCAAAAGTTATGACCATGAAAAATTGTTCATAAATTAAACAACACTAAAGGATTATTAAATGAAACTTAAAATCTGATATAAATATATATAAATAATATATATATATATATATATATATATATATATATATATATATATATATATATATATATATATATATATATATATATATATATATATATATAAATGATATATGATATATATATATAAATACATTTGGGATGTTTTTGTTCCCAGACTCTAAAACCGTGATACAACAAAAAATCCTAACTACGCCTCTGTGAACTCTAACCCAGACTTTATCTATGAATAGTTTATAACTCTATCAGGGTATGATATTAAACACTTATTGAATAAAACTATACACTAACCTAGTTTAAAACTTTATTTTGTGTTAACTACTTATGGTAGAACTTACCTTTCGTAAATTAATTTTTTATTTTTATTTTCACTGCTGTCATAACTTTTTTTATTGACGTCATACTAAAACTACTAAAGTTACTGCTCAGAAAAGAAACTTCATATCAAATAGACTTTTATTTTAATCAGGCGAGATTTTTAAATTGTCAATACAATATTTAATCCTTAACTTGTTATGGTGATATTGGTAATACCATAGTTATAATTTTAGGAAAAAAAAAGTTTTTTAGTAGTTATATCTGTAAGTATTTTGTTTGTTATTATGTCTTATTATTGCTTGTAATATTATCAATAATTAGTCATCTAATATTAGTAAAAATCAATTATTAGTAAAGTTTATCTGTTAATATTTTACATGCATTGACGTGTTTCGTTGTTAATTAGTATAAATGTTTGTCATTAATTAATTAGCAGTGCATATTTATAATAAATTAATCCGTGTTAGTTTATTTCAATTGCGTTATAAGGTATCATTTGATGGGCAAAATCAGTTTGAACTCTTTTTGATTTGATTGAATCAGTCAAAACGAAAAACACCACCATGTACAACATCTTAAATCTTAAAGCTGTTTTTTGTCCATTCACTTTTTATCTCACAGTTAAACTATATTTTGAAATTTTTAAGAGTAACATAGCCAACAACATAATTAGTTTTCTCTCTGGTTCGCTGAACAACTCTTATTTGAAATTAACTACTTTTCTGTCAACGAAGAGCAATTTACAGAAGTTTTAAAAAAACTCCGAAGATTCAGTTACAACAGCTAATTATAGTTCTAAAATAAATATTTACGTTTTTTTGGTATAGTAGCTTTTCGAACTCCGTGCTTTTCTTTTTTGTGAAAATCTGTCATAGTAGAATTAATGTTAGAAGTTTCGTTTTTTTGTTTTAAATTTACGTTTTCAAGTTTAATATTTAAAACGTTATTTACGGTTTTGTTACGACTCCCTTCATTAAAAAGATGTTCGGTTTGATTAAAAACGTTAACTAAGTCGTTGTTAAATTTTGTTAAATCATTTTTTATTTCAGGCGCTAAAACAGTATCGTTATCAACATCCGATAAAACCGTTGTATTGTCGACGTCATTTATCAATGTACTTGAAGAGTTGTCATGTAACTTTTGAAGTACATCTACTTTTGTTAGCAAAGTTTGGTTATTGATATTTTGAAATTTTCTTCGTGAAAGAAGCTGTTCTAGACCAAAGTCGCTCATTTGTAACCCTAAAATTTTGTAATCGTAGTTAGCTTGTTTGAGATATTCACCTAAATGCTCGTGGTAATAGTCAGCATAGTCTCTGTTACTCAGTTCAATTTCTTGACCGTTACTCATTCTCTGTCTAAGTGTTTGACCACCTTTTCCATAGTTTTGTAATGTTGCTGTCAAATGCGTTGATTTGCTCAAAGGATGATATTGGTCACCTGCAGTTGGAGGTTTATCAACCATTTGAGAATAATGCTTTGAAGGCGGATAAGGGGCGGAATCATAAGAAGTGACATCTGGGTGTAAATGATTTTTGGGACTAAAGTTTTTTAATAGTTTTTTTGTGTTAAGATGATTATGTGGTTCTCCATCATACCAATTTTTCTTTTCATTGTTTTCTCTAAAGTTGTTTACATCCAAATGATTATGAAAGCTTTGCTCTCCTCTGTTATTCATTTGGTTGAATGGGTATATTTCTTCAACGTTATTTTGTTGTCCGAAATTTTGTCCGAAATCTTCTTTATAGTAATCATCTTTATTAGTTTTGGTTGATCGCCGAGATCCAAGAGTGTTATCCTTACTATCAAAAGATGGTTGGTGAAAATCAGATGATACTCGCTTATTGAAAAACGATTTATCATTGTTACCTAAAAAAAAATTTGAGAAATAAAAAACATAAAAAATTATGTAATTAAAATTAAGTATAAATTAATTTTGTTAATTCAATATTTTATTAACACCATGTTACTTGCATCAATATTTTATTATTACCTTGTTACTTGCTTTAATATTTTATTAATACCTTGTTACTTGCATCAATATTTTATAATAATGTTTAATTATTGATATTTAGTTTATTATTATTTTATCAATAATGTTTTACAAATAGTTTTTTTAATGATATAAATAAAATTCGAATATTTCATAATAAGCAGATCTCTTACTCTCAAAATTTTTTGTACAATTTAAACTAAATATTTTTATACACCAATAAAACAAGTAAATTAAAAATAATATATGAAATCAGAAAAGGTTTCAACTTTAATTAATTTAATTAAACCTAGTTTTATTAAAACTAGGTAGGTAGGTCAAACAAAGGCATTTTAGAATAATTCAAATTTGGGTAAACACAAATTTGAATTATTCTATAATGCGTTTGTTCGACCTCTCAAATACCCAGCATCAATTTGGAATCCATCAAAGGAATGCAATATATCAACTCTTGAAAAAGTTCAAAGAGAAGCTACTCAAACGAGAAACTTCTTACATCTAATTTATGAATCACTGTGAATAACTTGATTAAAAAAGTTTAACATTACAATGCTAGAAACTTGCAGTTTAAGAGGAGGTTTAAACAATTGCTTCAGAATTGTCCAACAGTTAAATGGTATGTATCCATATCAACAGTTAAATGGTGTGTATCCTTATCAACAGTTAAATGGTGTGTATCCATATTAACAGTTAAATGGTGTGTATCCATATCAACAGTTAAATGGTGTGTATCCATATCAAAAATAATAATAAAATCTAAAGAGTTAAGGAATAAATCTACATACAGAAGAAATTTTATTCGTTTGGAAAAGAAACTAATAAAAAAAATGCTGTCTATTATTATAAAACTTTATTCCTAACAGAATATCTACTATACAGAACCGCCTTCTTCCATCCATCGTATTCTCTACGTCAGTTAATATTTAAAAAACGTTTAGACGAATACATTACAAATGAATATGAAGTTACCGGCTGATAAAAAGTTTGCTGATCACACACTCTAGTTTATCATTATTTTTTTTTTTTGAATTTTAGAATGCAAAAAAAAATCTTATATTAAAAAATTGATCAATTGTTCGGTCAAAGTGCCATAAATTGTATAATTTTTTTTTAGACGTTTTAAAGTTTTAAATAAAGCTTCAAAATATAAAAAAAGTGGTTTTTAATTCGTTTTCAACTGTTTCTACCTTATTTATCATACTGAAAAGAGTAGTTTATAAAAGCACGAGTAAAAATAACTGAGAAAAAAAAAAGAACTGTGTACGACGTTAGTTCAAACGGTAACTTATATGTTTAATATATTTAACATATAAAAAGTATTTCCATGTTAAACCAAATCAGACTTAACTAATTTTACTACCACTGGGTTAGTCGTTTATCGGACGAAATTTAAAAATGTTTTTCATTAAATGTGCAAATATATTTTAATTTAATCTAATTTATAACCCGAAAAGAATTTTAAAAAAAGATAAACGTCCGAAAATCTTTTTTTAATTTGTATTTAATTACATAAACAAACATTGTTTTTTTGTATATTTGTATTTCTAAACTTTTTGACAATTTTTCTAGAAATCAAGCAATTCTTTAGCAATTCTTTTAAAAGACAAATATTGTTTGATGTTTACTACCTATCGATATCGTATTATTGAAAAAAAGATTGCTTTGACTAAGGATGGATATTAGGTGATCAAGTAGCCTGGTAATCAAGTAGTCTGTTGATGACTAAAGAACAATGAGCAATTCCATAATAACTTCAAGAACATTTGTTTCATCAGAAGATCTAGCAAAGAAAGGTTTACACAGGTGTATTATTGTTTGTTTTCTTTTTCAAAAATAAAAACGATTGCTTACATCGGGCACAAAGTTGAATTTTTTATCAGAATCATAATTCTCAATAAAGTATTAAGTCTCTTCTAGTTGGTACCATTTTTTATCATTTTTGAAAGCTCAAGATTATAATTTTGTCTCAAGCACAGACTGCACTGGACACTTTTGCAATATTCCAAGATGTCTTAATTGCAAAGAAGTTTAAGAATTTCAAATTCAAAGAAGTTTAAAAATTTCAAATGCAAAGAAGTTTAAAAATTTCAAAAAGAAATTTATGATTTATAAAGTAATTAAAGCTTATTAAAAACACTGTCAAAAATCAATAACCGCTGTCAAAAATCAATAACCGTTGTCAAAAACCAATAGCCTTTCTCAAAAATCAATTACCGCTGTCATTCGGCTTGTTGTGAAACCGCTGTCAAATGTTGTAAAAATACAATGATACATTTTCAAAATACAATGACACATTGACAAATTGAGTCAGAAAACCCTGCATTGAAAATGCTAAAATGGCTGTAGCTTTCTCGAACGTTACCTAATATTTTTTATTTTTTCTAAAGTTGCGTTTAAATACAAAGCTAGAAGCTAGTATAAAATTTTTTCCGTGTATTTTTAAATCTTATTCGTAATTCCATGCTTATAAGTTACTAAAACCCCTGATTTTGAATAGAGCGTCATTTATAAAAAAAAATTGGAATTAAAGTTTTGTTAAGTATTTACCAACATTAAGCAGATCATCTGAGTTGCTTGCTTTACTCTTGATTTCTGAAAAAGCAGAGACTCCATCTTGATAAAAATCGTTATTAGAAGAAACTTTTTGCTTTTCTTCTTCTATAGACAGATCTTTTCTAAAAATTAATTTTTGTCTAACAGTCAAAACTATTATTATCATTTATTATTAGCTTATCATTGTATTGCGGTAAGCGCTAAGTTTTATTTTATGATTAAAAAAGTATCGAAACCTAAGATTTTTCAAAGACCTTATCTGTTGCATAAAGGTTTGGTTTGTTACCCAAACAGTTATCATTTTTAATACCGCGTTGGATAATAAGGCATTCATTAATTAAAATAGTTAAGAAAAAGACCTTAAAAACAGTGCTAAAATAAATGGAAATAACAAACTTTTGCGCACCTGTTAAAAGTTGGAGTTTTCATTCCTGAAATATCATTGAGTGAATTTATAGAGCCTGCAGGACTATGGACAACGTCATCAACTTCATTAAAATTATTATTTTGGTTTGCTAATAAGGACAAAGTAGGTGCTACAATATCATCATATTTATGACTTTGTTTTCCAATCAAACGATCATCTTTTAAATCACGAGCATCATTGTTTACAAGTTTGGCTTCGCTTAAATTTGGATCAGGACCTATTTGAACAATATCATGATGCGATCCTATAGTTGCAGGTCTCTCTGAAATGTCTGAGTTTATTGAGTATAATGAGTCACGTTGGAACTGTAATACTTGTTCGTCTAGTGATGTCATAGCTGAGTCTTGTGCTGTCATTGGTACGCCTATTGCGTCGTTGCCTACAAAACACAACTATAACTTTTACTATTATATTAATAAAAATATTTAAACCTTTTTAAAATTAGTTCACATATTCCAGTGGGTGTAAGACGTGGTTAGAACGTATTATACAGCATTAATGCGTTTTTTAGACGTATAAAAAACGTCTTGTGCCTACTGGGATATATTTATCAAAAATATTTAGCAGGAAAGGCATACCAAGAATTAAAATATATTTTTTAAAAAGCCAATTTTTAAATATATAAAAAATGTAATAGTTAAAAATTATGCATTTTTTGAGCCAGTTACATATTGTAAGTTAGATTATTTGTAAAACAATAAAAAAAAAATGAAATATATATGCATATTCCATAATATTATTCAATATATCATCAATAAATTAATAAACATCTAAAGGAATCATATTTTTCTCTGATAAGCGCTTGCTTAGAACTATTTGTTAGGTATATTTAATTTTTTAGATCAGGTTTTACATAAATATATATATATATATATATATATATATATATATATATATATATATATATATATATATATATATATATATATATATATATATATATATATATATATATATATATATAGTATATATATATATATATATATATATATATATATATATATGTATATATATATATATATATATATATATATATATATATATATATATATATATATATATATATATGTATATATATATATATATATATATATATATATATATATATATATATATATATATATATATATATATATATATATATATATATATATATATATATATATATAGTAATTTTTTAAATTGACTTTTTGTTGACTGCATAGAATAAAACACAAAATAAAACATGGTACTTTACAAATCATTGTGTTGTTTTAAGATTACAGAAAAAGCTTTCTTTTACCGTTTTAACAAACTTAATGAAAACTCCATTACTAGTTAAAAAAATTATTAGTTCATAAGTTGTGAGTTTATCCTATTTTATCTATCATTAACACGACCATTCTACCTACCAATTAGCATCTACCTATCAATTAACATCTACCTACCGCTGTTTCTACATATGTTATTCCTTTTTTCTTTGTCATCGCACTTATCTTCGTAATAATTATTTTTGGCCTTTTTGTTATGAAAAGATTTATCAGAAATATCGTGATAATCTTTTTCTTTGTAATCATTATCGCGATAATCGTGGTCTCGTTTTCTTTCATTGTAACTGTCGTCGTCAAATTTTTTTTGGTGATCACGATCATCATCTTCGTGATCATTGTTTTCCCGATGGTAGGACATATCATTTTGAATACGTTCTTCTTCTTGATTACTATTGTATTTATCTCTATTATTACTAACAGATTCTTGGTAATCATGCGCATCTCCTTTATCTCTTGTATGAGGGTTATCATAAAAACTTTCTTTTGAATCTTTTTTACGGTATTCTTCATCGCTATCAGGGTAGTAATGTCCTTCTTTTCTCTGTTGCTGACTATCTTCTCTGATATAATGACTACCTTCATTAGCGTTGTCTTCGACAATTTCATGATCTTCATGGTTACCATCATGATGACGGGAATCATCTAAAAATTCAAATAAATAAAAGTTCAAATAAATCATTTCCATTCAATTAAAGTAAATTACTTTTAATACAACAATTTAACTCTAAATGCAAGTATTTAACTAGATATAAATCGATTTATAAACCTCGTTTTCCATAGTTTGATTCGTGACCTCCTTCAAAAGGCAACCCATATTTTCCTCTTGATCTATGGTCTTGTGTTTCCTCATTTGGTGTTTCAGAATCTAATCGCAATTCTTTAGGAGATGCGGATGATAATAACGGAATAAGAGCTTTATCGTTCATTTCAATTTCAGCTAGTTAAATAAGCGTAATAAAAAACTATTTATACAAAAAAATGTAGAACCTGTAGAAAATGTAAAAAAATTCGTTGTAGAAAATTGTAGAGAATTTTAATAATGTTTTTCAAATTGTTTGTTTAATAAATAATATGAATTAGTATAACTAATTAAGTTAATTTTGTTTTTCTTTTTATAAAATTTACAATACCATAAAATTGGGTGGCTTTGGCCCTACGGGATAGCCCAACATAAATTTTTGTTTAAAAATGATTTAAAATTGATACCTTAAGGTATGCCGGTTGATGTTTAGTAGCAAATTGTTGGAAATTTATTATTTATTTAGTTTAACTTAGTTTACTTAACTCGAGTCTTTGTGATATTATTTTAAATTGCACTTTAAAAGAAGCACCTTAAATCCGAATTTTTTTAGGTGTGTAAACTTTTACATCGATAGCAGTACCTGTAGAAGGTTTTTTATTGGAATATACACTGACTTAATTTTAAACCATTAGTGTTTGATTCTATCTTGTTTTGAAAACTTAATAGTTGATTACGTTTTTGTAATTGAGGTTAAAAAAAAGTAGGTTGTCTTTGGCCCACTACATAGGGTGACATTGGCCCGGGCTAAAGTCACCCCATGTATTAGAGTAAACCTTTTTTAGTGATCATTTATAGATATTATGGTAGTTACTATGTTGGAAAAAAGTTTTGTAGTAGTAATGCAATTTTGAAAAGTATGGTGGTAAAAATATTAAAAAGTATGGTGGTCAGCAAATATTTACATCAAAAGAAGAAAACATGTTTAAGGCATATGCAATAAAATCATCTGAGTTTGGTTTTCCTGTTGATAAATATGATTTAAGATGCATAGTAAAAGGATATTTAGAGAAAAAAGGCGTCATTATACCTAAGTTCAAAAATAATTCTCCTGGTGGCGATTAGATTCGATCTTTTTTAAAAAGAAATCCAGAACTCACAGAAAGATTTGCAAGCAACATAAAGCAAAAGAGAGCAGAAATAGGAACGACTATGATTGATAACTACTTTATAAATCTATCAAATGAAATAAGTAATATATCACCTGATAATATATGAAATTATGATGAAACCAATCTCAGTGATGATCCAGGTAAAAAAAAATTAACAAAGCGTGGATGTAAGTATCCTGAACGCATCATTAATTCTACAAAGACCTCATTCTTTGTAATGTTTTGTGGCAATGCTAATGGTGAATTGCTTCCACCTTATGTTTAATTACCAGCTTAAGACCGTTTAATTACCAACTTAAGTGAACATGGGAATAATAGCCTTAGAGCTGGTTTTCGCAAAACTGGAATTTTTCCATTAGACAAGTCTCAAGTGCTTTCAGGACTACCATGTTGTAATGTAGGTTTAGACTCAACTACTGATTTAGTAAGCCAATTGTTTTTAGATCATTCATGTAAGTCACTGGATGATCCCTCAGATGGTTCTAAAAAACCAAAGCGACGCAAAGTATGTGTTGTCCCAGGTAAAAGCTTATGTTCAACAAATATATCACCATGTGTTATAAATAAAAATAATAGATTAAATTCAAATAATGTAGATATACCTATCAGTATTATAAATACAACTGAGACCAACAACATTGACTTTGCTGGTCCAAGTACAAATACTGGAATTACAGAGACTTCTAATCTAATTTTTGCAGATGTAAGTTTAGTTGTAGAAAGTCATACAGAATCTTTAGATCATTCAGCATTAGGCAAAAAGAATTTTCAAAATATTGATAAAACAAAAAATGCTTGTAAAAAGGAGAAATTATTAAATCTTGTAGAGAATTGTTATGTAATTGTTAAATGCGATGGAGAGTTAAATCCTGGACAGGTCTGTTTATTTATTTTGAGTTATTTATATTTAGCTAATCAATTAGTAAACTTTATAACTAATTAATTTAATAACTAATATTATTTAATGAAACTTTTGAAATTTTTTTTTTCTGCAGTTGAAAAAATTAAGAAAAAATGGACCAGAAATTACTATTATGAAAAAAAATGGACTTAACTGGAAATGGTCACTACCAGCAGAGCAACTTTTTTTTCTCCAGTCTGAAATAGTCGATTTTATTGAGGAACCAAAGAAAATTTCGAAAAGAGAAATTTATTCAGTTCCAGAACTTTTTCACTAAATTTTTTAAAACATTATTTTTATCATTTTTGTTTACTTTATACCTAAACTGTTTTGTTTACTTGGTACCTATACTTGTTTAGTTTGTACCTATATTTTATTAACTGTATACAAGAACTTCGTTACTAAATCTTTTTTTGTCACTTTATTTTTGTAAATTTATTTTCTTTGCCTAAATATTGTTGTTTTTATTGTTGTTTTGATTCCTTTAATTCCTTTTTACAGGGTTGGGCCAAAGTCACCTTAACACATAGGGCGACTTTGGCCCACCATTTAAACCACCTAAAAGATACTTCAGGTAAAAACAGATAGTTCTAACTTTCCTTTCTATGCGCTTCTAAAAGTACTTAGTGTTTAAGGAAATAACTTTTGTGGTTTTTATGCAATAGACATTAAGATGCAAAATGGGCCAAAGCCACCCAATCTTACGGTAATACATGTTTAAAGAGAAATAATGGTTACGAAAAAGAAGTCTGAAAGTAATCGAAAAAGAATAAAGAAAACGAAGGCAGAATAATGATAATAATAATAAAAAAATGGTAATAGTAATGATAATAAAAACTTGGCGATAACAAAGAACAATAGCCGTGAAGATTCAAGTGAAGAAAACAAACAGTTAAATTCTTATTAAAACAGTTATACCTGCCACATCACTTGGATTTTTTCCTTTTAACATGAAATTTCTTTCTTTCTCTATTGGATAATTTTCTCTTTTCTCAATTGGATCGTTATCTCTTTTAACACCAACAACATCAACAGGATCGAGGGGTACAAACTTTTCTTTTTTATTTGGTTTTGAGTTTGATTTTTTTACCATGTAAGTATGAACAGAATTTTGTATTGAAAAATTAGCATTTTTTAATGCATCACTTAGTAAACCACGTTGTTGGATTGAACTACTTGGCTTTAGATGAATGTTGGATTTGAATGTTGCATAGCTATGTACAGAATTTTCAATGGTCAGATTGGTATTGTATGTGGTTGGTAATGCTCTTGGTTGTAAAACGCCTAAGTTTGTTTCGATTATGTGGCTTGTTATTTCATTTTTTCCTTTTATCTTCGAATTTTCCACCGCTTTATAAAAGTTGTCTAAAAATACATTTTTATGATCGTCTGAATAATTTTCAATTAAATTTTTTGCAGTTGTTTTTATATTTTCATTTTCATTTTCCACGTCATTATCTCCACTTTCATCTCCTGAACCACTTTCAACATTACTTTCGTCATTTTTTACTTCAATATTTTGTTTAGCTTTCTCTTTATTGGCGTGTTTCAAAGTAGTTTTATTTAAAATAGAATGGTTTATTGTAACCAAACTGTCATTAGAAGGCTTGTGGTTGTCCAATTTATTTAATGAGCTATGATTCTGGTGAGAGCCACTTGATGAACGTGTTTGTAATACTGGAAATGGTTTCATCGAAATCTTTTTAAAAGTTTTAAATTTTCGTAGCTCAAAAGGTTTCATTTTTTTTGCTTTAATTGATGATGGTTTTCCTTCGATGTATAACGAACACAGGAGAAGAACTGCTAAATAATTTTAAAAATAAATATGTGTTAATGTGAGCTTTATATTAACTTTTTTATAAGTTTTATCACGTAGAACAACAGCATAAATTATTTTATTCGTTTTCTCTTTTATTACACATTTATCAAACATTTTTTATTTTTATTTATTTATTTTTTTTCTTTATCTATACTTCTCATTCTTAATTGATTATTCATCTTTTATTTTTCATCTATCAGATTCTTTTTTTTCTACTAATTTTTCTTCATTTTTTGTAATTAAACTTCGCGGTTCTTCTTTGGTTTTCCGCTTTATTTAAAAAGTTTTCTCATTACAAAGATTTATATTTAAGAGTAATATCTAATTATTATACTCTCCGGTTAGTTATATACATTTACTACAAATTCAAAAAACCTTTTTTATAAACATTTTTTAATTTTATTAAACTGTATTTCTCTTACCTGCTATACAAAACGAAAGACAGGAAACGGAATTCATTTTTTTTTTTGGTTAAACACTAGTCTTGCAATCAATTTAAGTTATTCATTTTTTTAATGAAGCCGAGACGTATTGCTAATTTGCCTTCGCTCCGAAAGTGTAGCGCCTCCGCCATGTTCAACTCACCTTCTCAACGCATGACTGAGTAACATAAACTTTAATAACTTAAACAGATCTAAGTGAAGTTGTGCCGGTTGTTTGAATGAATACTTGACCATACCTTTGTTTTAAATAGCTTCCGTTTGAAAAAAAACAACCCAGTTTTTATTCAAATTACTGCTAATATATATATATATATATATATATATATATATATATATATATATATATATATATATATATATATATATATATATATATATATATATATATGTATATATATATATATATATATATATATATATATATATATATATATATATATATATATATATATATATATATATTTAATATTTTATGCCTTTTGTTCAAGTGTAAAGAAAATTTATCTCCACAGGTATTTCAATATCTTTATTCTTTAAAACCGAAAAACAAATATAATTTGCGAATTGACAACAATCTTAATGCTCCTTTTTGCAAAACTAAATACGACGAATTTTGTATGTCCTATCGTGGACCTCTTCTTTGGAGCAAAATAGTTTTACCTAATTTTGACTTTTCAATCAAACTAAACTACTCCTCATTCAAAACCAAAATTAAAGAAATTATCTTTTAAATTGAAAACATATTTATCTATTTTTGAGTTTTTACTTATGTATTTAATGGTTTTGTTAAACTTCATATTGTTTTTGTTATTTTACGAATTTTTATAACTTCATTATAATATTACGTATTTATATTATATTATACTCGATACTAAAAAGCATTGTAAAGGGCTTCATGATAAGATCCTCATGATCTTCTAGAAGTCCTGCCGCTAAATTTGTAATATGTTAAAAGTTGTATTATTAATATTATTATTTGCCAAAAAAAGAAAAAAAAAAATTGTCATTAACAATATTTTAAAATGTAAGTAATAATGTCGCAAAACTTAGTTTGCACTAGATCAAATTTAATTAGCCCTTAATTCAATAAAATTACTATCGTAATACCCTTATATCACTTATTTTTGCCTGAGAGTACGAAAATGTTTTTAAAGAAATAAACTTTAAAATAGTGAGTATTTACCCCTTTATTATCTCTCTGAGGCATAGGTAGAGTAGCCGTGGCGCAGTGGTAGTGCATTAGCCTCAGAAACGTAAAATCCGTGGTTCAAACCCCACTCCGGGCAAATTTTGCTACATCAGTTGGCAGGGAGGCGTGAACTACTATTAAATGCTTTTCCACGGTGCTCTGTGATAAGACCGTAAGGATTTCTTGGAGCACCTAAAAATATTAAAAAATTTAAAAAAATTTAAAAATTTGTGATATTTATAAAAAAAATCACTAAATATAGGTTGAAATATTAGCAGAGCTATTCCATGTAGATGTTAAGTATATAAATGAATTACAAATGTTTATGTTGAAATTATGATATACTTATTCGCAGATTCTTTTTTAAAACAAGAATTAAATTAGGCCAACCAGTTTTTAATGCTATTAATTGTAAGAATTGGGAATACTTAAAAAAGTAAAAAGATTAGTAAACAACAAGAATGAAGTCCACATTAAGTATCATGTAGGTCAGGGTTGGCGTAAAGAAATAATTGGAGGGAGTGGTGGTGGTGGTGGTGAGGTAGCTAAAAAGATTTTGCAAATTTTATAAAACTAATTTTAATTTTCAGTTAATTTAAAAAGAAAACCACGTGTATCCATTTTCAATAAAATATAACATCAACTATAAACATATTTTTTTTTAAATTTAACGTCGTTTCAAACTATTTCACGCAGACTTAAATTAAAAGAATATATTAAAACATAAAAAGAATTTAACGTTTACCAAAATAAGAAATTGTGGTGTCTTTAATTTTTCCATTTACAAAGTCTTTCGCTATAAATTTTACATCTATTTATTAAATTGAAAAAGTAGAAGATGATTCAATCGCTTTTAAGTCGAGGTCGATCGACTATATGAATTTATCATTCTTTGATAAGAGAAAAATCGCTCAGCTGTTCAGGTTGTCAATAGTATCGCCAAGTAAAAATTAAACAGTTTTGATATTTCAGAAAACATTATTGAGATTCCTTTAGTTTCGTTCAAGATATCAATAATAATTGTTATTGATTTTACTTGTTTAACATTTTACATGTAATATTAAAAGTTTTCTTAATAGATTTAAACAGAAAAAGTTAAGCTTTTAATCATAAATTATAAACTATATAACTTTTGTGGAGAATTTTTATAATATCTTGATATGTCCATATCACCACTGCACCATTTGCAGTGGACAATTTGTTTTCCAAAGCAATGAATAATTCCATTAAACTTTCTGGAAACCGTTAAATTCTATAACGTCTAGTACCTCGTAATATTGGGCTAGGTAACAATCCATCATGTCCCATTTGTGATTGTTCATCAAAGCGAGAAGGACATAAATGTTGGCAAGGCAAGCAAGCATGAGTTAAATTGTAACCAAATTTATTAACTCCTTCCTGAACATAAGGTTTATAAAATGATTTAAAACGAATTTCTGACTGCATATAGTTTACTTGACAAGTTAATATCATTTCAATTATATTTCTGAATTAGATGCTCAAACAATTGCTTCATCAATAATGTTATTAAAAGGTCATATATCATATACGACCTATTAATAACATTATTAATGAAGCAATTGTTTGAGCATCTTATTCAGAAATATAATTGAAATGATATTAACTTGTCAAGTAAACCTACTTCTTTAGCTCTGTTAGGATAATTTGATTTTGAAATTTCTTGAAATTCTGAAACAATTACTTAAAAATTTGTCAGAATTTGGTTCTCGCGGTAAAAAAAGTTAGACGAGGAGCACTTAATTGATTTGCTTGTCATTCTCATCAAATATAACACATTTTTATTTTTAAGTTCCACCAGTTTCTTTGGAGCTAAATAAATAAAATTATACAACAGTTTGCACAACTCCCTCAGTCATCCAACTAACTTGTTTACTAGAATCTTGAAAAACAATGTTGATCCGATGTGCGTACCTAGCCGGCATTATTACGTTGTTTCAACGTTGAAATTCGGTTGAAGCGTTGTTTTAACGTTGTTCAACTATGTCACAACGTTAAATCAACGTTACCGTTTAAACGTTGGTTATTTAACGTTATTTCAACGTTAAATCATTGTTGACAAAAAATACGATATAAAATTTATACGCGCGCAGAAATGGAAGTAAAAACGTAAACATTATTTCAACGGTTTAAGTTATAGAGATTTATAATGGAAAAAAAATGTAAATAATGAACACTTATACCATATAGAATTTTCAAGAGATCAAAAATATGTTCAGACGATTTTCCTGAAAGAACATTATCCTTTAAAAATCGATACTTTTCGTTTAACTTGGGCTACAATGCTCAAAGACTGATATTATTAAATGTAAATATAATACAACTTTTTCAAAAAATGATCCATTAAATTATGTTGAATTTAATGCTAAGCGTTGTTTTTTAATAGAGCATCAAGAATTAAAAAAGGAAATTAATAACTTTAAAAAAGAACTTCAGCACGAAATAAGAAAATAAAGATTTATATGAAAAATTAACTTCAACCACATCAGTTATTACTATGAAAACAGACAAGTTTGTATATAAACATAATCCAAAAAAATCGTGTTATTGCAATTTACTTGTATACAAAAATTTATTTTAAAAATGATAGATCTTGCGACTTTTATACTGGCCTTACATCTGTCAATGTATTTCATCAGTTAGTGCATTAATCAAAGAATCGCCATTAATCAAAAGAACATAAAGTGATATTAAAAAAACATTTACTTCTGTTTTTTGGAAATTTAAAAAAATCCTTTACTACTTGGACCAAAATAAATGTAATGCAGCAAAGATGAATTTTTAATGATGCTAATACATGGATTATTGACAGTTGATTTTGCTGACAGGTTTAATATATTTTTAGGATTAGCGAATGCAATATTTTCTTTATTGTTGAAAGCTTCTAGCTCACTTTTAAACCACATGGTTTTTGTTCCAAGTAAAGATGTTATAAGACAGGCAATGCAAAACAGATTTTAGAAATTAAATTATTCAGACTTACACTAAATTTCAGATATAACAGAATTTATTATGGAAACACCTTAAAATTTTGACTTACAGAAACTAATAGGTAATGAATACAAACATTACAACAATATAAAAACATTAGTACCTGTAGCTCCAAATTCATCAATAACTTCTTTAAAAAATTTCTAAAGCTTACAGAAGCTAAATTTCGGATAAAAAAAATTACATATCGCAACAACTATTTAGATTGTATTACAAAATACTCTTGTATAATGTATGATTAAGGCTTTTATATTAATTTTTTAATACAAATGAAGTGATTTTAATTAAATCCATTTTTATCAGTTACTTAAAAAATTTGATGAGTATTTGTATAAAGATAATTAAAATTTCGAACAATAATATTAGCTTTACTTGTTGTTTTTTTTTAGGTGAATCAATTGCAATTGATGGAATATCTTTAAAATGCTGAGGTAATTAAAATAATTTTTAATTATTCAGGAATTTTAAGGATTAAATTATTTAGCAAAAAAATTGTTTGATAATGAGTTCAATTTAAATTTAAAAAAAAAAAAATTAATATTAGTTCTCGCATAATTAATATCAGTTCTCTTATCTATTAAAATTTAGAATATTTTCCAACAATTTTGTGACCTCCATGAATATGAAGAGGAAAGGAGGAAATATGCTTTAAGAGCACTAATTATATATGGTGTAGTGAAAGGTATACCTTTATAAGACATGTAAAACTTTTTTTATTCTCATTTTTTATATATTCAAAAATTTCTCCTTGTGTTTTTTTTTTTTTTTTTCCAATTCTTTTTTATTAACAGCTTCTTCTATTAAATACGATGGAGCGACTGAAACTTTATTTGATGGCATTTTGTCTAACTTCTTAAAATGCTCTCCATTTCGAAAAGGTGGCGGAAAAGAAAAAAATTTAGATTGATTGATATAAATTTATATTTATAAAAAGCAATCTAAAATTTTTTTATTGAAATATTTACATATATTTTAATAAAGAAATATTTTCTTTTTGTCTGCTAATATTTTTTTTTCAGTGTTAATTCAACATTACAAATTAAAACTCAATTATGAAAAAAGCCTAGAATTGAGTTGATATTTTAAGTAAAATAAGAAAAGCCCAAAAAGTAACTGATGTAATATTTTTATTTTTTGATAAAAAAAAAATTATAATAATGTTTAAAATTGGTATTAATATTAATGTTTATTAGATGAAGATGAGTAAAAAATAAGTAATGTTTATTAGATGAAGATAAGTAAAAAAATAAGTTACAAGTTATTTTTTGGTCTTGAAAATTGTTTGAATGATAATTTATTATTTATCAAAATATTTTCTTTTTTAATTTTTGTTGTTTTTATATTTCAATTAAAAGTAGATATTATTGTGTCATATATTATAATATACCTTATATTATACTATTATATTTTATATTAATAATGAGTATTTTTGTTTTTTTGTATTTCTATTTTTTTTCAATATTCCATAGTTATCTTATGTAGATGTTTATGTTTTAGCAACCTAGTATTCTTTCATTATTTGTCTTTGTTATTGAGCCTTAAGTTATTTGAACATAATATATTCAGAACTCTGCTGAATAATAGAGTAATAAATAAATTAATAAAAATGAGTTTAAAATATAATAAATTTATAAAAAAAAGAAAATCTTATCTTTGCTAATAATGTCTACTAATATTATTGTTTAGCAAGTATCTTGGTTATAAAATGTTCAAATTTAGCTAGTTTGATTAGGCTTTTTAGTACACTTATATTACGGTTTCTTCATTTTATATTAGTTCATGTAATTTTCTCAAAATCGAATATGCGGAAAGGAGCTGTTTGGAATGAAGATTTACAAAAAGAAGTAATTCCATCTAATTGAATTAGTGATAAAACTGTTTGTCGGCTTCCAGGTACCAAAGTATTGACTGCACTAAAATGCAGAGAAGAATTGGCTTAAGTTTATACAAATAAATACTAAATTCTCTTCAGGTATTACATCTATATATTACAATTTTTATTTTTTAAATAATGTGGTAAGAAGAGTTATTTTGTTGATACAAAATACATAACTATTTGTATAACTATTTCAATTCTAAAAGAAAGCAAACAGTATTGTGAAAATTTTAAATTCACAACTACAAAAAAAAAATGTCATAATGAGAATGTTGACAAGTGGATGCAAGATTTGCACACAAGTGGAAACTTGGATGCAAATTTTCCACTTGTGTGGTTTGGATGGTTCTCCACAATATAATATCTCTCCACAAGCATAATATTAGATTTACTTCATGTTTTTTACAGATAATCAATTACAGTTAATTGGTGGAACGTCTTCTAAAGATAGAATACACAAAATTATGCTGAGGTAATCAAAAACAGTATTGGACTCTTACCTCATTTATAATCAGAGTGTCTGCAGCTCCTCTAAAATCCTCTAAAGTCCTTTTTTTTTTAAACCACTTCTAAAATCCTCTATTATCCTCTAAAGAGGTAAAAATTTGATCAAAGCTCCTCATTAATTCTTCCTTTTTTAATTTTTGATGGAAGTATAATGTTCAAAATACCCATTCTCGGTCTGCAAAACTGGTTAATGCCTTAAAGTGCATGAAATTGTAAAAAATTGCTTTAGAAAATGCATGCCATTTAACATAATAAATGACATTATTTGATCCCTGTCCAAGCCCCATAAGTGTATAAACATGGACGTTAAACCATTAATAAATGGCCACATAAAATTTCTTATAAAAATTTTATGTGGCCACCCCGAAAATTATTTTTAAATGCTAGAAATGTTTTATATTTTGATTACCAATTTATTTTTAATATATTAAAAAGGTTGTTTTACTTGATTTATAGCAAGCATATAAGTCATTATTTTTAATAATGAATTTTTTGTTTTTAGCGTTTTGTTAATTCTAACAAATCGCTAAATGTTCCTCAGTGGCTTGTAAAACGTGATTCAAAACAAGCGCATAAATTTCAAATACAAAACGCTAGATAGTCTTTATAATTTGTAATTAAATTTATTATTCAAGAAATTTCGCATACTATTCAGTTCTCCACGTATTGACATGTTAAGTAAGTTTTAAAATACTCTTACTATTTTTGTTTAACCTCAAATTTTTAATATTATAATATTAGTTCTAACATTTTTAATTTTTTTCGTTTAGAATCGTTTTAATCATGGCGTTTTATAGAATTTTTTTTATCATGGCTGATTTAGTGTAAAAATATTTTTCAAAAGAAAAAGGAGACGAAAAAGCCAAGCGTTTAAAATCTCAAAATAAATTATTAAACTGAAAGGGCTCGTCAATTAATGCATTAATAAGACATTTGCAACATGTTCATAACATTAATATCAAGAAAAGAACATTAAATGACGATCAAACTGCTGGTTCAAATAACTGTGAGACAACCCCTGCAAAAGCAAGAGAGTCTCTAGCATTATTTTTTCAAAGAAATAGTCCTTAGTAGAGTCAGTGACCAGACTTGCGGCCTTTGATGGATTTTCAATTCACGGAATATGCAAAAGTGAATTCATTCGTCAAGCATTAAGTGAAAAACAATATCATTTTCGACGCGATCCACGTATTATCGGAAAAGCCTACACTACATACATAAGTCCGATCTTAGAATATTGCTCTCCGGTTTGGTCGCCAAACTGCACAAATGAACAAAGTAGTGGAAAGAGATCAAAGACGTTTTACAAAGAGAATTGCTAATCTAAATAACTTTTCATATTTTAATAGACTTAGAATTCATGGTTCGGAACAACTAGAAATTTGTCGCCTTAAGCAAGACATAATTACATGTTACAAAATTTTGAACAATTTAGTTTGCCAAAATAAATCAAGCTTCTTTTTAATAAACAACTATATTTACACTCAAGGTTACAATATCAAATGATGCATCAACCAATGATACTGCCGCAGTAATCAAATTCGGTAGATTATCTGGTTTTATACATTAATTATGGTATAACCACGACATACACTTGGCTGTAATGGACGTTGTTTATAAAAGAAATGAAAATTCCAAAGTTAGTCTCACATTGATTCTTTAGAAAATAAATCTAGATTTTCCAGTGATAACTCTAGCGAACCTGAAAATGATAATCTAAACAATTTCGAACCTCAATTTCAACGATTTCGAACCTCAAGATCCAAGAACAAGATCCTCAGGGGATCTTGTAAGTTGCAACAATACGTTTTAAATAATGGTTTTTACATATTATTCCTAATTTTTTTTAACATTATTATTAACTATAATTAAATATATATATTAACTGTATATTAATAATTATATAGATATTAACTATAATTAAAACACATCAGCTATAAAAAACTTACAGTAATAAAATAAAAATTTCAAAAGTTATTGATGATTTTGTTTTTTCAATAATAAAAAAATGGTAAGTTAAAAAAATATTTTTCAAATAAAAAAAGATTAAAAAAATCAGATTTATTTAATGTAAATAATTTAATGCATTGATTAGAGTAATCATGATGCCTACAGGGTAAGTTGCAACAAATTGCTTCGGGTAAATTGAAAAATAATTACCAGTTTTATTGATTTTACGCACTTTTCTAGATATTTCTAAAGTAATTTTAACGTCGACTTTTCTATCTCCTTATAATTCTACATCAATTAACAAAAAACATTTAAGAGATCTAATTGATGAATTGAAATGTGATTAGTTCTTTTGTTTCTTTAATACTTGTTTGTTTTTTAATAAATGTTTATTGGAAGGTTTTTAATAAATGTTTATTGGAAGTTTGTTGTTATAGTTTTTTTTTTAGTTTAGTTAATTAGTATATTTCGCCGTTAAAAATATTTACAAAGTACAACAATATAAAAAGTACAAATGGCTGGAGCAAGAAGAAGGCATAAAATAGCCTTATCACCGAGCCCCAATAGTAACGCAAATAAATATCCGTAATATATAATAATCCGTAATATATAAGCAAAAGCATTTAAAAAAAGACAATTTTAAAATGTTAAGAAACAAAATTAAAAAGAAAAAAAAAAAGTTATAAAATAATTTAAGAAAAAAAAAAAAAAAAAAAAAAGAAATGATTAAAATATAGTAATAAAAATGACAAAAATTTTCTGTTTTTGGTTATAAATTGGATGTGATTCGATATATATATATATTTGTATATATTATTTTCTTTCAAAATAATTCAATATTCAAATAAAAATTCTGTTCCAATATTATAAAATATATCAAGAAAATTGTAGGTAACTTTAAGAGAATATATATTTTCAATGAAAGTATGATAAAGACATTGAAATTCTTAGTATTGTTAAATGGTCTAGATTTTTAAATTTATGGTGCTAATTTAGTTTAATAAATTTTAAAACTTCAAAAGTGACATAGAAGATCTGCTATATTAAAATCCGTAAGTACTAAATAACGTCTTAATTTAGATTTGAATTGCGGAAATTTTTTTTCTTTAATATTAACAATATGCTGAAAGTTTTTCCACAAAATTGGACCCCGGTACTAAATAGAATAAGAACATAACTTTAGATTATACTTTTGAGTTAAAAAGTTATTTTCTGAGAACTTGGTGGGGTATTTATGGCTTACTTCTCTAAAATAAGGATAGAATATCGCTGGAGACAGTCCATGTTTTATTTGATACACGAACTGTATGACGAGGAATATGTTAATTTTAAACACATTTAATGCATTGAGTTTACGTAAAAGTGGCTCACAAGGCACAGTTCTTTTTACTCCAAATACAATTCTACATGCATGTTTTTGTTTAGTATAAATTTTCTTTAACATAGCGTAGCTGTGGCTTGCCCAAACGATATTGCCGTAAGTTAGATAGCTATGTATGAAGGAAAAGTTTAAACTTTTTAGAGATCTTATATCCAAAAATGGTTTTGCTTTATAAATCATTGCAATGTTTAATAAAAGTTTTCTTTCAAGAGTGTTTATATGTTTCCTCCATGTTAAATTTTCGTCTAAAATAATACCTAAAAAGTTTACAGTTGTTTGCCTAGTAATATTTATATTATTGATTTTAAGATTGGGTAATTTTAAAGGAAGGTTTCCTGTTTTGGTTGGTTTGTGAAATATAATAAATTTAGCTTTGTTAACGTTAAGTGAAAGTTTATTACAAATAAACCATTCATTTACTTTGTTTACTTCTTCATTAACTACTTTAAAGAGGGTTTTAATATCCCTATGAGAATAAAACAGATTGGAGTCATCAGCAAACAATATAAAGTTTAGTAAGAGATAGATCATTTATATAAAGAGAAAACAATAACGGTCCTAAGATTGAGCCTTAAGGAACTCCACATTTTATTATACTTTTTGTCGTTTTAACATTTTCATATTGAATTTATTGCTGTCTGTTTGATAAGTAATCTTTAAACCATAGTAGATTATTATTTTTTATTCCATAATGTTCAAGTTTTTTTAAAATAATGACATGGTTGACTGTGTCAAAGGCTTTAGACAGATCAATAAATACTCCTAATGTAAAACGGTCATCATTAAAGGCATTGGTTACATGAGTTACTAACTCGGTCAAAGCGTGGTCAGTTGAATGATTTTTTATAAAGCTAAATTGCTTGTTGTACAACATGTTATTTACTGTTAAGTAGCTGTTTAGCCTTTTATACATTATATGCTCGAGTAACTTAAAAAAAGCATGGTAAAACTGATATTGGTCTATAATTTGAAGAATCTGTGTCATCGCCAGACTTAAAAATAGGCAAGACCCGTGCAATTTTTCATTTTTCTGGAACTGTTTCAGATTGAAGAGAAAGATTTAAAATGTGATATAAAGGGGTTTCTATAATATGAAAAACTGATTTAACAACATTTATGCTAATATTATCAAAACCTACACTTGTGTTGTTTTTAAGATTATCTAGAGCATATCGTAACTCATTAATATCTAGTTTAGATTCGTCCATGACCTTATCATATGTTTTTAAATAAGAATCAAACGATGATGAACTTGAAGGAACTTTTTCAGCTAAGTTTGGACCAATATTAAGAAAGAAGCTGTTTAGATTTTCAGCTACTATCGACTTGTCGTATATTATTTTATCATCTACTAAGAGTTTCTTTGGTTGAATACTTATTCCATTATTTTTTCTGCCAATAATTTCTTTAATTATGCTCCACGTACTTTTGGCATTTCCGTTAGTTTTTTTTAACAACTTTGAATAATAAATTTTTTTTGATTGTTGTTTAGTTTTTTCAAATATATTTTTATAAAGTTTGTAGTTTGTTTCATTTTTATACGTTTTTTTTTAAAGAATTTTTCATACAACTTTTTTTTTTTTTTTGAAGATTTTAATAAGCCTTTAGACATCCATGGAGCTTGATATGACTTGGTATTTTTAACAATTTTTTTCTCCGGAATAGCTTTTTCATATTGCTCACAAAAAAATTTAAGAAATAGTTCATAGGCATTATTTACCTCTACCGATTGCATTATAAGATCCCAATCAACGTTATATTTTAAAAGGTGTTGAAATTTTTGTAAGGAGTATTTATTGATCTGCCGCCTGTATATTATAAATTTTGAAGAAATATTATTAATTGTTGTATTATTAGTTATTAAAAAAGTAGGAAAATGATCTGATAAGTCTGTTTTGATTATACCTGTGGAAATATAGTTGTTATAAAAGTTGTTAGTGATTATATTATCAAGTAAAGTAGAAGATTTCTTAGTTATTCTGGTTGGTTTATTTATTGTTGGAATAACATTATGTTGAAGAAGTTTATCGATAAAATGCTTAATTTTGTTTGAACAAGTTCAAATTGTTTTAACAAGCTTGTTTTAACAAGTTCAAATTGATATCGCCGACAACGTAAATATGCTTCCATTCTTTATTGACTTTAGTTAAAAATGTGTTTAAGTGAGTCTTAAATTTTGTTAAGTCACCAGATGGCTTTCTATAAATAGCATTAATATTTTATATATTTTTTGTGGTTTTATTATAAAGTTCAATGCACAATAACTCACAATCTATTTCATTAACGCATAGGTCATTACGAGAGAAAAAATCAATTGAATTGTGGACAAAAATACTAACGTCTCCGCCACCATAACTATCACGTGGTTGATGAATTGACGTGTAATTAATTAAATCAAACTGTGTACTTTGTTTAATTGCATTTACACCACGTTTCTGCTAGATAAATAATGCTAAAATCATGTTTTATTTCGTCCAATAAAATATTTAAATTTTCAAAGTTTTTATTTAAACTTCGGATGTTAATATTTAAAATTGAAAATGCGTTTTTATTATTTTAAAGATATTGTGCAGATTAGTAAACTGAGTAGTATTTGCTTTCAAAATTCAATTTGTCAAAACAGTCTATTTCAGTGTCATTATCATTAATATTTTCATTATAAAATTGAAATATAGAGTTTTGTTCCATTTTTATACATGGTTTTATATAAAATTTTGAAACATAAATAAAAAATAAAATTACTTATTTAGCTTTTAGATTAAACTCTTTCACTATTAACTTATCGAACTAAATAATAGCATGTTTTCCAGCGTTACGCTCAATCTTCATCTTTTCACTTCGCGTCTTATTTTGTTAGTTTCAAATGAAAAATCTTCATTAATAAAAATACCTGTACCTTTTTTTCATCTTTGAGTTTTCCAAAATTTTTTCTTTGTCTTTATAATTTAACAATTTGAGTATGATTGTTCTGGTTTTATTCTTTTTGCTTCTCTGCGTTAAAGCGTCTTTCGATACGGTGCGCTCGTTCAATAATAATGTTACTTTTTTTTAACTGATCATTAAATATTTGTTGAACTTTTTTTTCAGTTTGATCCCTTGTTTCTTTTTCATTTTCTTGTACACCGTCAATTCTAATATTGTCTCTTCTATTCCTATCTTCTAGTTTTCTTATTTTTTCTTGTAGTGCATCATTTAATTTGCTTGCTTCGTTCTGCGTTGTTTTTAGCTTTACGGATTTACAACTTTACAACTTTAGTAATTTCCGTATTCATTAACTTTTTAAGTTCTTTTTCGACGTGTACGAGTTTTTTATTAATTAAGTAATCTTGAGTAAACTCGATACTTTTTTGTAGATCGTCAATACACTTCTGCAAGCTTGAAATACAATTTGTTATATTTTCTATTGAATGTAAAATTTTATCCATTTTGTCGTTTTGTATTGAGGCATTTCCTGATACTATTTTTAAAAGCGAACTTTCTTGTGCTTTGAACTTTTCCTCCATTATAATTTCAATTTCTTTTTTACTTGCCATTTAATAGATTATGTGTTAAGTATTTTCAGATAATTACTATTTACTAATTAATTAACAGCGAATTTCTTCTTTTTTTATTTATAAAAATACGCTATATTTAAAAATGTGCGTCCGTTCACTCTGAAAGCCAGCTTGATACGAATGAAAAGTGCTATTAGCGTTCGAAAGCATTATAGATAACTTCGATCTAAGTTTAATTTTTGGTTTGTTTTTATGAAACTTTATTTAACATTTGCTTTATTTTTTAACAATTTAACTTTTTTTTAAACATATTGTTAAAACAAAACTTAAAAATCCTGAAACCTTATTTGGCATTTTTCTAAACAAACTATCGTTTATTGACTAAGAGAATAATTTTTTTTCAGAAACACTTTGGAGTTAAAATAATAAATTAGTTTAAATAATAATTCTTCTTATTCAATTTCTTCAGTCTCTGAAATCTTTGAATACAATTATCAGTTTACTAAACAAGTCAGATGTATGTGAACTCTCTCATAATAAAAGTATTGCAGTTCAATGAAAATACTACTTTCCTTTAATGTA